ATATTCTTTAAATAAGACTCTAAATACATTATCTGGAAAACATGCAAGTGGCACTGTACTTCACCACGTCACTTTGCCACACAGGAAAACATAACTTTCTACTGGTATAAATTTATAGGGAGAAGAATACATATACTTTTCAATCTTTAAAACTCTTTAGGCATTTCTTCCAGTTTAAAATGTGTTTGTGTCATGTACTCAGCATTTCTTTACAAACTTGGTTCTCTTCTGTGGGAAAAGTAGAAGTACTCTTGTTCTATTTCTAAACATGTCATCTGCCCTATATTTTCCTTTTTTCTCCCAGAAGATATTTAGAGGGACAAAACCTTTTACCAAAAGAATGTGTTTATTTTTAGATCATTTTCCAAACATACGCAGTGCTACAGATCAACTGCTGTTTATTGATTTGTTGTGTCAATAATTCCATTAACTGTGCTTCATATAATTCCGAATATGCACTAGTGCCCAAACATATGGTGTGGCACCAACAGCAGGGGACAAGAAGGAATGAGCATGAAGAAACTGAAGTTCAGGCAGCGCCTCCCTCCTGTGCTATTAAGTTACTTAGTTCCAGCGCACAGTGTTGAAGGAAACTATGTAGTGTTTAAACAGTTCTGACAAAATCTAAGACTCGCTCCTTTAAAGAATAAGTTCAGCATAAACTTAAGGAAAGAAAATGATAAGTAAATGGAATCCACCACAAGCTGCATTCTGTTGATTATAAACGGGTTTTTTACTATGAGTAAGGTACTTTTTCCAGATTAATTAGGAAAAATGTACTGGGCTTTCACATATGGCAAGCTTCAATTTGTATCAGGTCTGTCATTGCTTCTGACAGTTACTCCTTTCATATGCTGTCCAAGAGGCTGAGCTGCTTTAATGGAGGATTTGCTCTTCTGTTTTCCCTGTATCCTAGGTAAATACTCGCTGCATTCGTGTCCTCTTCTCAAGTTCAACCCTCTGCCTAAGCAGGCACCAAGTCACTGATAAATTGTTATGAAACCTTTACTGCATAGTCATTTATCAAACTGTTTTCACCAACCATAAAATTTACATATCTGATGGTCTCTCACAGATTTCTGTTATGTAATTAAGATGTAGATTGCCTGGTAAACTCTTCCTCTTGGTGCTAGACACTGATTTTTTTTTTAATTATTTTTTTCCAGTCATCAGTGGGACTTCTTAAAATGCATCTGATTCTTGGAATTTATTCCACTTTTAAACTAAAGCCCAAGTATTGTGACATTCATAGCACAGTGTAAAACATGATATTGGGCAATGTACTTGATTTTGTTAGTTTCTTCATTTAGTAGAAATGTTATTAAAAAATACATCAACATTGAAAAGTAATGATTTCTTTAGTATATTAACTGGAAATACTTATAACAATTCTCAGGATTAAACTGGCAATCGTGGATTTATACTGACTTATGAACTGAATTTAACCACATGGAATCAAATGCAAGAGATAGTTGGGCTTTTTTTGTGTTATTCATGTGAAAAATAAATATATTTAGTTTATAAAAATATATGTAGTATATAATAAGCCTGATAAATCACAAACTGTTGTAAATAATTAAGGCTAAGTAAAAAAGAGTTAAATTGCTTCATTAAATTATATCATATGTATCCAAGACCAATCTTTTAACTGACATATATGTACTATTTTCAAATAGCATTTTTTTGTCTCTGTCACTGGATTAAATGTTACAGAGTTGTAGTCGAAAACTGAGAGTATGAGAAAAGGTACGTTAAGAAAAGGAACCTTCTGAAAGAAGTCTCACAGGCCAATTGTATCCACTTAGTAGAATGCATTATATGCATTATATGGAAGGGAGAGTTCTTTCCAATTACTTGGGTAACCTAGTTTGGGTTCATTCATAATGTACTGTGTTGCTACTGCCAGTATGCTTCATCCTGCCCAAGCTGCTCTGTGGCATCCTTCTCCCTTAACTGTCCCTAGTACTTACCAGGTGTGAGCAGGCTGCTGAGTTAATGTGCTTGCATGGTGGACTTCTATGTGCTCACTAAATCAGCACTTCTGTGAAGTATAGACTTATGGCACACACACCAACTGATGAGATTTTTCTTTTACCACAGGTCTGGTCACACACTGTGTGAGGTGGGTAAAGAGGTTGTAATGCACGACTCTTGTGCCAGTAGAAGGTGGAGGAGCCCGCCATTGCCAAGAAATTCTATTCAAGTTTTATTTTATTCAGGCAGTTTTATTCAAAAAGTGGTCTGAGAGGGAAAAGGAAATACCAAGGGAGACTATTTGAGACTTGTGTGTCTTCCAGTGACTCGTTATTTCCAATTTGTTTATATGTACTATTTTCGTATGCTGCTCAACTATCATTCGCATGGCCTGGTGTTTCAGACCTCAGTTGTGGACTGTAAGAAAATAGTTGGTGTGTGTTACATCAGGAGAAGAGTCAAGGCCCTGTAGCAGGGGAGGAGGTTACAATCAACAAGTCCTTTTTTTACGTGGAACAGAATGGGGCATGTTCTGTCTATCTCCTGCGAATATCTTGTGGCAGACTCAGTCTATGAGCCACTGTTGTGGAGGGTAAAGGTGAGAAGGCAGGAACTCCTTGAAGGCTAAGTATGTACTGTAATGTATAATAGAAGAATAGTATTTTGTGTAATAAGGAAACCAGAAGAAGAAAATACCATTGATCACCATTGCTGGGCAGCCATCTCTCATAGCCATGTGTAGCCTTTCAAAAAGATTGAGCATAATTTCCCTTTTCTCATCTTTCTTAATGCAAGATCTTGATTTTTTTTTATTATTTATACTTTTGCTCTCTTCAAATTGGGGCCTTGATTGCGGACTTCCTCGTATTCATCATGATAGTTTATCAGGTCTTGAGTTATGCACCTGCAGCCTTTTCCACCCCACTCCCAAGGGAAATCAGTTTCACTATTTATTTATCTATTTATTTATTTATTAGGAAAGCATTTAGTAAGAACCTAACCCAAGCGTGGTTTACGTAAGTGGTAGTCGGTTTGCTCTCATATGAAGCCTTGACAAGTAGTCTGGTGCTTGTACATTCCTGGCTACTGAGTTACCTTCTCTCTATCAGCACTCTTAATTTATGATCTGAATTGCTGCTATATTGAAGGGCATCTCAGAAAAAAAAGGAAGGTTGAATGTAATTTCCTCAAAGGATAAGTATATGGGCAGCAGGCAGTTTGCATTGTTTCAGCATTGGGAATGTGTGGTTATTCACTGATCTCCTACAAATCACGCTTTTCTTTAAAGCAACCATCCTGTTAAGAAAAAGTGAATTTACCAGTGAACCCATAAGAATCGGTGTAGTGTTTATAATGTGGATGCAATATTATGTTTGAACATTTTGTAGATCCTCTAATTATGTTGCATCTCTATTGTATACATTTTTAATACCCCCCATCAAGAATATTTCCCATTTTTTATTGGGTAAAATCATAAATAACTATGACTTTCTAGTGAAGAGCTTTGTAATTTCAGGCAGTGTGTTTTTCCGTTGAAAATAATATTCTTGTTTGTGTTTTGCCCATTTAAGGAAGACAGTAAAGTTAAATTCTGCCATAATAAACTGCTATGATAATCATATTCGTAAATGCCTGCACTTCACCCTCTCCCTGTTTCCCTTCCTTTCCCATCCCTTCCCATTCACCTTTCAGAAACATGTTCGTTTCATTAGAAGCGTCTGCTTTGTTCCTTAGGATACGTAGGATATTACTTGCAATCAAGGACTAGGAACACAAGCACAGAGTGCTGTTAAAACCAACAGTGAAGAAAGGTTGCGAGGGCCAAATAGGAATACAAGACCAGCTGACTTAGCCCCTTGTCTCTCCTCCCCTCCCCTCCTTCTCATATGCCCTGCCTTGAATTTTTTAGATTTGGAGGAGCTTCTTTTCCTTAGCTGCTTCTGTGCCTTTGCGTGCCTTACATTTTCTCCTTCTCACCACCTTTCTTTTGTAACAACTTGCTTGTCTGTGCTTTCCCTTAGTAGTTAGAGTCACTGTTTTGGTGATGCTCTCATTTCAACTTTACATCTCATGTGCATGGGGTTTTTTCTGTGTGTTGCCATTTCCCCTGAAGAACACGATTAAAGGAAGTAAAAGTTAAGTTTACCGTTGTTTGTAACTCAGCAGTTACTAAAAGTGACATCATAGAAAAAAGGACACTTCTCTCTATCTTGCTCTCATTTCTATGCTTGGTTTCAAAGCGCTGCTCTAAACAATGGTGTTGGAGCTCCTTAACAGCAAAGGTTAAAGGTATCTTGAATAATATAGTATGCAGAAGCTACTACTACTGCTTCTGTGAAGTTACAGTGAAGAGTTATGACTCTTGTCTGTTTTTTTTATATTTTTGGGCAATGTTAATTCCAAATAAGCTAGAAAGCAGCAGAAATAGAGAAAGCTTAGTTTATACAGACACTCTGCTTCTTTGGAGGACTTGGCAGGAGAATTTACTGCTCTCACACTATTGAGTCATCTCTGGGGAAAATGAAAGCATAACTTTGAGCACACTGAACACCTCATCCCAACTTCATCATAGCCCTGTGTATGTATGCACTGTTTATGTATGCATTTGAAATTCAGAACTTTACATTCCTATTCCTAACAAGAATAAAGGAATGCAGCAAATAGATATAACTTCACTGGTCAAATCTAAATAAATAAATTTTCTGTCATTCCTCTAATTTTCTTCTGAGCAAATCTTGTTTGAAATAATGGAGATCATATTTTTCTGAAATACTGGTACTGAATGTTAATAATAAATTGTTTTGTTTGCAATTTTTTGTAAATTGTGTGTTTTCCAATTCTTCTGTAAATGATCTTTGGAGGAAGCTTAGCTAAGCACCAGTTATGCTTTGATGCCATAGTATTCAATCACTGGCACAACTTGAGCCTGTGTCTTCAGTTTTCAAAGTTAAATTTCTTTTCTGTTTGCGAAGTCCTGCGCAGCCAACCATTTCAAGTTTTAACTCGTGTTTCACATTTTGTTCTAGGTTGTTGGAAGAGGAGCCTTTGGTGTGGTCTGCAAGGCAAAATGGCGAGCTAAAGATGTAGCCATTAAACAAATAGAAAGTGAATCTGAAAGAAAAGCCTTCATTGTAGAGGTACAGTAAGTTTGATGGAAATACCGGGTTTGGTAGAGCTTGTTTTCTTAAATTCATGGGTGCATTTAGTGTACTAAAAGCTATTTAAAGTACTAAAGTCTATTAAAAGATAAATGCAGCCTGTGGTACGCAGTTCAGGCTTGGACCCCTCGTCTTGCAGAACAGGAGACCTGTCAGAGAACATTGCAGCTTCTTTACTTTGCTTCCCATAAAAAGCTGGAAGGCAAGGAGGAGAGAGAGAAGGGCACACAATTGGGGAAATGCCAGTTTCTACATTCTGTCCCAGTCTGGAATCAGGGTGCAGCTGAAATACCCACCGAAGTCTTGGAGCTGATTAACACTTCAGGGGCTACAGCATAGGTTCTTCAATACAATCAGGTCCATACTTGAAACTGTTTCTGAGTTTTATCAGCAGTTCTAATAACTTCATTATTTTTTCTTACATATATTGCTGCCTGTAACTCATTTAAAGGCAGTCACTGTTTTCATTCATGTCTACTTCTTCAGAAATACCTTGAGTAGTTCAGATATAATGATAAACTTCCCAAGATACATAAAGTTTATTAGAATCAAAAGTTTGCCGTGTAATTTAAATGGGATTTATTGTGACATGTTGCTTAGTATTTATTCAGTTATCATTTAGTATATTCAAGATATGCAAAATATGTTAAAAATAAATCTCTTAAATTTGGAACTAAATGTACTAAAATGTAACACACTGAAGGGTTGAAAGAAGCATGTTTGTTATAGGCCTCTGTGTAAATATTTATATTTTGTTCTTTACCATGGTAAGTTTTTAGGGTTATTAATCTGAGTCTAATTTAATACTCAGTAAACCTGAATGGTCTCTTAGCATTTTTTGTGTTCTAAAGAGATCTGAGTAGATACTCCTAAAAATGCTTAAATATTGTGGAAACCCTACACAGTGCAAGCATCAGTTGTAATATTCTGTTCTGATTTTTTAGGTCTTCTGAAGTGTACAGAAAACGTAGCATTTGTTCCATAGGCAGTGAACAGCATAAACTACTTCAGAAGTCTATGTAAAGGGAAAAAAATTTCTTGTTTCCTTCTCTTCTGTTATGTACTGGGAAAAAAAATACTTAGTGCAAAATAATGTAATTGTCAGTACAAGCAGTACTAGGTTCTTGGAACTATGTCGCTTTAATATTATTAAACTGTTTGGCTTAATTTCTAGGGTTGTGGGCTTGGGGATTTTTAGAACAGTAATCTTCTATATTGTGAATAAAGCCAAAATGATTCTGATTTTTTTATGTAGTCAGACAACTGGGATTCCAAAATTGCAGGCTCCAGGAAGAGCATCAAACCTACAGAGGTCTTAGTTGCAGAGTGCTTGTGACTTGAGTGATTTTACTACAACCTGTCAAAATATTTTCTTTAAATTTAACTTCTTAAATATTTCTTTTAAAATACAGTTCCAGTCAGACTCAAACCTAATTACATAAATTAAAATGCAAGGAGGGGCATCAGTCTTGTAATTTCTAAAATCGCTATCTAGAGTTATGCAGACATATAAAACTGTACTTGCTGTTATGGTGTATTAATTGTAGCTGTAAATATAAAGCATTAGCCTTTTTTCCCCATGGTTTGAAATTGTGTGATTTGTATTGCAGCTTCGACAGCTGTCACGAGTGAACCATCCCAACATTGTCAAGTTATATGGAGCCTGTCTAAACCCAGTAAGTTATAGCTTTGTCAGTATAACAGCAAGTGACTAGCTTAGCATATGCAAGCATCAATGCACAAAACATGTATTTTATACTAAAAATGTATATTTTATATATATTTTTTATGTTTTGGCCATAATAAGGAAATGTACAGATATGTAGGTTGCTTCATGTTTTCAGGTTTTAGGTTTTTTTCTTTCCACTGCTATGAAAAATAAATTCTTTCAAGGAAACCCCAAAGCCATTTCTAAGCACAGATTATACTTCAGTTTGTCAGAATGGCATCTGGTGTATTACATATGTAGTTACATTCATATTTACAGTCTTACTGTAGATACCGTCTTGATCATCGAGGTCTGCAGTGGCCCTTTGGAGCATCATGCTGAAAAAGATTGTGAATAGAGTTGGTGCAAGAACGCAGCCTTGTTTCACAACATTGGTACTTAGAAAGGGCTCGGAAAGCGAAGCCAAGCCATGATGACAGTCTTACTAATTGCAAATTAGCAATACAAAAAGCAAATACATTAGCAACACACGATTGTAACTTGTAAATCAGTTCCTATTCTCATATATGCAATTTTCAGGATTTGCCACAGCTGCAAACAGTCCCACAAATTCTCAAAGCAGGAAAGCAAGTACTATGATTGGACTGATGTATCCTAGCTAATTCTTGTATGGGCTATCTAATTGTTTAAAATATTGCTGCATCCCTTTTTTTTTCTTAGTACTAGTAAAATTATTTTGATGTGGTGTTTGATTTTTTTTTTTTGGTAAATTGCTAAAGGAAAAAAGTAAGAACAAGTGAATTGCAGTTTGAAGACAGAATTTGCTTTTTAAGACTGAGACGGGGGGAGGTCATTCTCTTCTTTCGTGACTTACAGTGGGAACTAAGTATAAAACTCATTTCTGTTTCTTACACGTATACATGTACGCTTCAAACTGACCTTTTACTTCATAGATATATTTTCCATTAGTTTAGGTACAGAGGCTTTGCAGTTGCTCTCAAAGACCTTTCCTTTCAGTTTACAGAAGCTGTTTTCTGCCCCTACATTTAACACATCCCTGTTTTTTGTTCCCTCCCCTGCAAAGGTGTGTCTTGTTATGGAGTATGCTGAAGGAGGTTCTCTATACAATGGTGAGTATCACTTCAACATAGTGTCTTGCTGGGCCTAAAGCACTAGTATTAGGGCAAACGTGATCTAAACTATAAAGCTGTTTCATACATCTGTCTCCATCCTTGGACATACTCAGAAGCCACCTTGCCAAAGTCCTGGGCAACCAGCTGGAGGTGGCCTGCTTGACTCTGCTTGGTGGACCTGTGGAGGTGCCTTCCAGCCATTCCGTGGTTCTTTGAAATGTTTCAAATAATTTTAGGAGAAAGGAGTGTGCTTTTTAAAACCGCTTTTCAGTCCACTGGTTTGCTCTTGGTATCAGTTTCTTATATTTCGTGCAAGTAATTTAAGGTTTTCCAGTGGAACATCTGGAAAGACTTTTGCTTAATTTGTAAATTCCCTGACCATTTGTTTAACCTAGACTTTACCAGAGATAGCTGAGAACAAGCAACACCTTTCATATTGAATTGTAACATTAAAAATTATGGAAAGCATACTAAAAAGCGGAAAATATTTTGTCATTTATTTTAAAAGTCTCCAGAAGGATATTTTCAGTTGCAGTAACGAGGTGTTGATAATTACTTAGATTCCATAGAGCTTTCTAACTGGTATTTTGTTAACTCCATTGTATGTGTTGTAATATGCAATAAAGTTCTTTTTAGTTTGTGCCTTTGTTTTGCAGTGCTACATGGTGCTGAACCTCTGCCTCATTATACTGCTGCACATGCCATGAGTTGGTGTTTACAGTGTTCCCAAGGAGTGGCATATCTCCACAGCATGAAACCAAAGGCTCTAATTCACAGAGACCTGAAACCACCAAAGTAGGTTCATATTTTATATTTTCTTACAAATGGAATTTAAGATAATTTTTAAATATTTACTGCATTTGAAAAGAACCTTTAATTGATACTAACTTTTGGGTGTACTGTACTCCAAATGAAAGCTGTGCATTTGAAACTTCAGTTACAGAATGATGGTGTATGATACAGAAAATGAACTGTATTCAGTTACTTTCTATCAAACTGGAAAAATATCCTGCTCCTGCCCTGCATCACAGAAGAGGATTTTGTTAGAAATAAGGCTTCTAATCAGAGGCATTTAAAATCCTCCAGTTTTGAAATGGATTTGTTGTTCAACAAGAGAACATTGTGGCGGGATTGTTTCGTTGATTCATTCTAATGTCATATTTAATCTATTACATTAGAGCTCTTTTGCCACATGGCCATCCTCTTTTATCTGCTCCTTCTGCCAGTTCTGCTACTCCTGCCAGAAGCTCCCATCACTTTCCACTGAAACAAAATTTAGCAGTTTTCTATCCATTCAGTTTGTTATCTGACTCACTTTACAGCTTCAGATCTGGCTGCACAGATTAGGTAGAAACAGATATTTGAGTGTGAGCGGAATCATCCCTTTTTTATGGTAGCCTGCAGTTATTACCAGGTAAAATCCTAATATGAAGCCACACTTTAAATCTTTAGTTCTTTCTTGTATCCCCAGTTTTGATCTAGAGAGCTGTTAACATGTAACACCAGTGCTTTCATTTAAATAAATATCTATGTTGACAGGTATTAGCGGGCATCTTGACCATTCTTCTTTTGCTAAAATTGTTACAGCACTGATTTTTCAGCCTCTGGAATCTGAAGGACTAATTTTGCTAATATATGCTTAGTGATTTACTATGGCTAAAGATACTTAATTAAAATCTAGCATATAGGAATAAACTACAATATATATTGGAGTATTTAAAATATTTAATATGTTCACATTAGAAACAAGTGACCTTACTGATTTCCCAGATTATAAAACTAAAGCACTGAGAATCAAAGCCTAAGACATTCAACTGTATTAGAATGATAGTTGTTGGGATAAAAAAAAAAAATCAGTGGTTTATTGCCAGACTATTTCATCACACAATTTTAATATCTTTTTTCTTTGACAGTTTGCTCCTGGTAGCTGGGGGGACAGTTCTAAAAATCTGTGACTTTGGTACAGCCTGTGATATTCAAACACACATGACCAACAATAAAGGAAGTGCTGCTTGGATGGCACCTGAAGTTTTTGAAGGTAATAAAAATTCACAGTGTTAGTATTAATGTGTTCTTTTTAGGGATGCAACTGTGAATTAATGTGGTGTAGGAAATAAGAGTATCATATAATCTTTATTTCAATGTGTATTAAAGTTTGAGGTAACAACTGAAAGAGTCTTGGCAGAACTCTTAACATTTATTTAAAAATCTGTACAATTGTATATTGTCAAATAATTATGCAGAGGTTTAAAGAACAGCACTGAACCGACTCTCTCACATTAGTATTAGAGATTTATTTGTGTCATGGCTAAGATTTACGTAAGGAGTACCTCTAGACAGCTGCTGTTTCTTATTTTGTAAGTACATCAAATACAGCCAGAGGGCTCTTGCCCCACAATCTTAATGTTTCCAAGATTCTTAAATTATTTCAAACTTTTCTGACATTTAAATACACTGTCATTACTTTCATTCGCTATTCTGATCGGCTTTTAACTTTAGAATTTCCCTGTTAGTGTCTCTAAATTAAACATAATTGCCTTCATTTTCAATCCCCCACTTTCTTGTAACTCCATCTTTGCCTGCTTTTTGTGTAATCTAGAGGTCTGATGTACTTCCTCTTTCCTACATACTGAGGAACTTGTTATTACCAGTTAATTTAGTTAAGTAGGAAAATAAGCTATTTCTTGGAGTGTAACTGGGAAAGACTGATGACACTTGATAATTAGATAGCTATAATTGCTGCACGATTATCACAGGAATAATCCAGTCTATATTAAATTGCAAATTAAACACCGTTTAGCCAGTCAGTACCTTAAATTATCAATGTGATTTAGCAGTGGTCTGGAAAAAGTCATCTTCCTGCTTTAGGAAGTGCCTGTGTGCAGCAGTGGTTTCCCCGATTCTGGATCCAAGTGGCCTCTTTTTCTTTTACTGTCCTTATTCCAGAGACTGTTCCCATACAGTTTTAGGAGGTGTTTCCTCACAAACATCACCTTTGGAGCTTTTGTTATGAAGGTACCATTTTCTTCCGTATATTGCTTAAAGTACCAACCAAAAAGGGTTATGTGTTTCACTCTGGTGCCTGAAAATTTTCCATTATGTCACTTTATATTGAGACACCTACTTTATTTTTTAAACTCTAGCTAGGAGTGCTTCTTTTCTTAACATTTGGTTATTTATTAAATTAAATTGTACAAATAGGAGATTTTTTTCTTTTAGAAATAATCAGTTGGACAATTAGTGTTACAGATAGATTTTTTTTTTTAATTGAAAAATCTTAATCTAAAATGGATACAAATAAGTATATTATGGTAAGGATTTGCAGTGCATGTCCTGGTTCCTCTGGTGTATGAATTCAGCAAGGCAGAACAAAGAAATCATGTATTGCAGTTGTATTTTTGGACAGCAGCAAAAGCCTTCAGTCTGCAGTTGTTTTTATGTACTTTTAACTGAAAGTGTTTACTCATAAAGAGACAAATTATTATAAATGGACAACTATCAAGGAAAGGAAGAAATCTAGGAGCTTCTATGAGACAGCATATCAAATTACTCCAGAAACAGTTTTTAAGCTACTAAAATAACCACGTCAAATGTCAGAATTGTTAAAAATTTGTTTGCCTATGCTACTGAATCAGAATTCAATAATGTAAAAGATGCTAATATTATTTTGGTGCTGTTCTAGTACTGATGTTTTTAGATAAGAACAATAAAGATATGAGAAGTATCTGTTGTAGAAGACAACTGCCTATTGAAGCAGTTGCCCTAATATTAAGATTTTCTCCCCTTTTTAAACGTTAGGGCACCTAAAGCCTTTTACAGATCAAATAATCTAAATGAAAATAACATGATTTAGATCAGGATAAAGTTAGAGAGAGCAATTCTAATATCAGAACTCTCATTAGAAGAAACCATCTTAAAATTGCTTCAGAATGATTGAGGAATGATTGTGTCTATCCAGTCTTGGTCTATCACATAATAAAATAATACAGAATATTCTCTCACTTTCTTTGGACTCTGTTTTCAGAATTAGTCTAAGACTTCTCGGCCGCAAAACAGAATTTCCTTGCGCCAACAGGAGCATAGCGCTCCTTTCCTTTCATAGGCTTAGTGTCGCAGAAGTGCTGTGACTGCATAGATGAGACTGTTTTGCTTCCCTTAGTGATCTGCCATTGTTTACATAGACCTTTTTTCTCCAGCACCCTTGAAAATAAGCTGACTGATAAAGCTGATTTTATTATTTTCCTTCAGTACCTTTTGAACTCATTAGCACATTCAGCTACTTTGATACAGGTGTAAAGAGTTTTGGAGATGCCAAGTTCTTAGAGAGTTTTGTAAAGTGAGTAGCTGCGAGAAGTCCAAATTAGTGCCTTCACTAAGAGAGGGTTTGTGGTTCATGCTGCTGCCTGTCTCTTGTGTTTGCCTTGCAAACTGTCTGGCCTGCAAGAACTGGCTAGAGAACAGGCTGTTTGCCTTGCACAGTTGGTCAGAGGGATGGGGGCAGAGAAAGATGGCTCACAGGTAGGGTGGAGCCTATTGCAGCTGGTTGCTATGTGGTGAGTATTCATGAAACTAGACTTCTTTAATCCCACTATTTATGAAATTATTTGTCTGAATGATGCTTTCTGATTATGTGTTAACCAAAAAAACCTCTTGACCACTGTATGCCAATTTTAATTGTATGCCTTGGTTGAACACAGGGGAGCAAATCTATCATTTATATTCACACATTTATTCTCATGTCATTAGCCATTCACATTTCTTATTAGTATTTGCATGAGTTTTGGTTACAGAGCATACATTCTTTCTTTGCAGCCTCTGAACACCTTTTTTTTATTATTCTATATCACCTACCTGTCTTCTGCACCTTAGGAGTCTTAGAAATATTCAAGTTATGGTCAAAGAATTTTAATTAAGTAATGACATTACAAAAAGAATAAGAGTAATAAACAGGGAGGAAATAAGATGGTGAGGAATTGAGGACTCTGCTGATTAGGTCTGCTAAAGACCTGTAATTAATAAAGAGCAATGGATATGGCATATTGTGACTAAGGTTGGAAAAAGTGAATTGAAGAATATTTAGGGGAAGCAAACATAGTCAGTTAAACCATGAATGCAAGAGATCTTTAAACTTCATAAATTGTGTTTTACATTATATAAGAAAACTGATGCATTTTGTCATTTCAAGATGACTCCAAGTGAAAAGGATTAATTCCCAGAGAGAGGCATTCTTCACAATCAAACTGTCAAATGATTGCAGACTTAAGTTAGCATGAATCAACCAGTTTTAGAAAACTAGTTTTGTTCTCAACAAAATAAATGTGAAGTGAAAAGAAGCATATAAAACTATTTATTCATTTATTTATTGGAACAGGCTGCCCAGGGAAGTGGTGGAGTCACCAACCCTGGAAGTGTTCAAGAAACGACTCGTTATGGCACTTAGTGCTATGGTGCTCAGTGAAAGTTTGGACTCAATGATCTTGGATGTCTTCTCCAACCTTAATGATTCTATGATCAGCTCAAACTGTACTTCTTTTTAATGTGTTACATAGAAAAGAGACAAATTATATTGATGGCTTTCTTCCAGGTAGCAATTACAGTGAAAAATGTGACGTTTTCAGTTGGGGTATTATTCTCTGGGAGGTAATCACCCGTAGGAAACCTTTTGATGAGATTGGTGGTCCAGCTTTCCGAATAATGTGGGCAGTTCACAATGGTGAGTTGAAAATACTTTATTGCATTTGAAGTTGTGTATTTGACCTATAAATTTGTTAAACACTCTTAACCATGCAGCTTTAAATTACTAGTTGTTTCCATTTTCTGCTTCATTAAATATACGCTTTTGTCACAAAGACTACGTAGTTAAACACTGCCACTTCTGTGTCAGTGTGGGTTTTGTGTTATTTGGCTGCTACGTGTAACTGGTGTATGAATAAAGCAGGGTAAAGAGCCATGTCTTCTTTGTTATGACACTCCATTTTAAGAGTGATCTGAGAGGTGCTCTAGAAAAACCCACAACCCCTCTCTCTGGATGAATGGTGATTTTTATTAGCCAACTTGTCTCTTTTATTTTTTTTACTCTTTGTAGTTAAACATCTACAATAAATGTGTAACTTGAAGTAACTTGACCTTTGTTTAGAAACACTAGAAACTGTCAAACTCCTGTGTGACCATTAGGCATTAAAAATGTCACTTTGTTTTTCATCTGTGGTGTTCTGCTGTTGGAATGGTTTTACCTTCTTACCTAGGCGCCTGCACTCATGGGGCAGCACTCTGCTGCGCTAGGTGTTATATAGAACAGATTTTTGTGAGCACAGACTATAAACAGGACAGAGTGGTTGTATTCAAATGAACTTTTTCTTTAAGGCAGTGGTATAATGTTGGTCAGGATAGTAGATTGTAGTATCTTCATGCTAGTGGTGTAACTTTTTTACTGCTGTGTTTTTAAGTAGCATGGCAAAACAGAGTTTTACAAACAATTAAGTAATGATAGTGAAGTATTTCAGTGACTGCAAAGAGTTTCTGCCATTTGTGAGAGACAACATCAAAGCAAGCACAAACTTGTTTGGAAAAAAAAAAGTAACAAACAAGCAATGAAGGCTGGTTTTCAAATACACAGTTCATCAAAGTTAGGAATAAAGAGTGCCTTGCATAAAAGCATTAACTGGGAAACTAAGTGTAAATCTGATAGTCATAAATCAGGAAGCCTCAATAAGGTGCGGGCGTATCCTTTAGGGAAAGAAAAATTCCCTATCTGTAGCTACTTTTGCTTTAAAAACTTATCCTTTTTATCTTCTTCCATTTTCTTTTTCCTTCTTAAGAGGAAATGTTAGTACACTTCATCTCACTTAAAACTATTGTGGCACTCTTAACTTCATGTATTACTTGATCTGTTTAATATATTTTTAAATACTTGCTGATTGCTTTGCAAACCATCACTGTTCCTCATATATCAGACACAAGTGGTTGTCCATTAATTGTATTCCTTGTAGAAATCGTAAAAAGAGGAGAACCTTGAACCAAAAAACAGCTGAATAGTTATACAATAGTTGAAGTAAAATATGTTATTACAAATGTGTATAGGCATGAGAAAGTCACACAAAATTGGTACTTCCAGTGCCTGTAATTTTTAAGGAAGTTTTTAAGGGCAAAATCAGCTCTCAAAAATACTTAAGGTATTTTAGTTTTTTCATTATTTTTTTCTTGTGAATACAGCATTAGGAACCAAAGACTGTTACTACTTGCTTCCTAGTTTGTTCTAGAGCTTTATTCTTCAGAGACAAGTAACATTAGCCATTGTAATGTGCTGTATTTATTCAGGCCTCTACTGAAGGAGAAGTTTAATTTTTTTTCTACTTGTTTGTATGTAATTGCAGCCTCTATGTAGTGCAAAGGAACTTTTTTTTAATCAATTTTTGTTTGTAAGAGAGAAAATTAAGTACAAGCCAGTTCTTTCAGCCTACAATTAACTCTGCCTTTCCCTGTATTTATTTAGCAAAATACTGGAGAGAAATCAATCACTGTCAGTTGTTTATTATAGTCTGTTTAAAAAATTAAGGTTTTTTTCCTAAAAAATTAAGGATTTTTTCTAATTTCAATTACAGGTACTCGGCCACCACTGATCAAAAACTTACCTAAACCAATTGAGAGTTTAATGACCCGTTGTTGGTCCAAGGATCCCTCTCAACGACCATCCATGGAGGAAATTGTTAAAATAATGACACACTTGATGCGGGTATAAAAATTTATTTTAGTATCTAAATTAGTTCTTAATCTCTTAAGCTAGGACATTGAATTAAAAAAGATATGCCTTTCTTCTCACTCTGAAGATGGGCTTGCATGTTTTCTTTCTCCTCTTTCTTTTTGATAAAAATTATCAATTACAATAGAGAAGGGAAGTAATTCATCTCCTTATGGGGGAAGTATACCAACTCATAACAGATTTGAGAAAATTTAAAAAATACTCATAGGTGTATTTTAATGTATGACTAAAAATGTTTGCATTTACATGTATTCAAAATAAATTATTATAAATATATAAATTGTATTTCTAAATTATGAGATACTATTAAAATAATTTTAAAACAATTGTTAATTAGGTTTTTTTATCAAATCATTGCTCCTTTTTCACAGTACTTTCCCGGAGCTGATGAACCTCTGCAGTATCCTTGCCAGTATTCAGATGAAGGCCAAAGCAACTCTGCCACTAGTACAGGTACATTTGTGTAAGTTAGAGAAAAAGAATAGCGACATAAGCATTGACAGGGATCTATTTGTTTTGTTAATACTTCTTACCACATCATATTCAGTGTTCTCAGTCAAGTGGTTTTGATGAAGTGTATGTGTAATGGAGAACAAGTTTATAGTAAAAGCTGTGTCCAAATGTCCAGGTTTAAGGTCTCCTTTTTTTTTTTCAACGAATGTTGCTAACAATTAACATCTTTTCACTAATATGTAATGTGTAGGAGTTGTCAATTTAAAATTTTTCACTACTTTTGAAAGCTGCATCTCTTTCATTTATAATATCCACAATTTAAACTTGCATTTGTTTTATGTTAAGAGGCATTAAATACAGTAATTTAAATTACGTGCAAGAAAATAACCAGAAAGGTGGATGGAACAAAATGTGGACTAGACTTTCAGGTAGTCTTGCTCTCAGATAAATCCTTTTAATAATAGAAAATGAAGATCATTTGGTCTCCTCATTTTTTAGAGTACAGGTTTTCCACTTAAGTAGTTTTTAATCTTAGGTGTCTTCAACTTCCTCTGCTTGGTTGGTTTATTTTTTATCTCCAAAGAAATTGCTGGTATTTTCATTGGCTACCTTACAGTTTAGTGACCTGTATATTAACAAAATCTTTGCAGCTCTAGCGTTGCACTGACTTTACTAGTTGTTCTCCACCTTTCATCACGTGATTTTAAGACATAATTTATCATTTTAAACTGTAAATATATATTGGCTGTTATTTATCAGGTATTTATGCTCTTCTGTGGTTAATTATCATCTTTTTCATTAATTGTGAATGAGATTGCTGGTCGTGTTTTTAATTATGACATTACCCTAACAATTTCAAAGGAAGCTAAAGGCTGACTTCTGAATGTTAATGTAGTAGGTAGTTGTGTATTCTTTTTCACTCCTCTTACTTCTTACAGTAATGGATCTGTTGCAGTCTTGCAACTTGCCTTTCATTAAAAGTTTTGAAAAGTGTTGTTTTAAAGCCAAGTTAGACTTCTGAGAATGCTGTAGTGAAGAGGTGCACTTCAGTATTTTCAGTGGACATTCCCGAATGTTTTTCTTTGTTACTGGTTTCTAGGTTCATTCATGGACATCACTTCTACAAACACAAGTAACAAGAGTGATGCTAACATGGAACCAAGTGACTTCCAAGGAGCTTCTACCAATGACACTATTAAGCGTTTAGAGTCAAAATTGGCACAACAAATCAAAAACACAACCAAGCAGCCGGTAAGCTAAAGTGTGCAATTTTGCACCATAATAATGAAGTGGACATAGGTAGACAAAAGTGTTGTATCTGCTCTGAAACATTAGTGTCCTCCTTCAAAAATCATACAAAATTGGACCCAGCTACTTTTAGAACATGAAAAGGGATGGAAATATATTGAATAATTCCAAAAATGTAAACTGGAAGGCTCTATTAAGATCTCCAATGAAATGTAAAAAATAGTTCATTCTATTTAAAGGTATTTATTAGATTAAAAAAATATATGTTTGAAAATTGCTGCCTTAATTTAAATCTAAAATATTAGTATGATATAAAAGGATTAAACATTTATGTGAATTTTGAAAATACTGTGTTTTATTTCAAGTAGAATGCAAAAATACAAAGATTCTATTCTGATAATATTGGCCTAATTCTAGTGATTTTTTTGTCTGTGTATAGTTAGATTATTTTCAAAGTTGCAGATATTTCACTTTTATATGCCAATAATAGCTCAATTATTACCATTTATTAAGTTATAAATTTTAAATCTTGTCACTTTTAAAATGCACATTATAAAAATATATTTTAACGTACATACTGGTGCATATCAGGGAGGGGCTTGTGCAGAATTTTCTTTTTAAAAATGTGACTGTTGAAACAGGGTGATCCTGGCCGTTTGAGTTTGCCCCCATCTCGTGGGAGCAGTGTGGAGAGCTTGTCAGATGTTCGCGCACGACCACCATCAGCCCTTGTTTCAGGAGAAGCCAAAAGGATGAGTGCTGACATGTCTGAAATAGAAGCAAGAATAGCTTCCATCACAGGTAAAATTAAAGGATGTTTGGGGCATAGACTAAGGAATTGGAAGGAAAATATGAAATGCGCATAGTCTTACAAAAGGTTAATACCAGTAGCCATATGAAAATACTTTAACTTTTCATGTAGTCTTTATTGTCTTTTATTAATTGTGGGAGGGAAATGGCTTTATTTATGGTTGTACACTCAGCAATGTTGAGTATTGTAATTCAATATTTTAAAGGTCGTAGAAGAGATTTTGTTGAATTAGATTTTTACGTTTTTAAAAACACATTATAAGACTTTTAAGTGTCAATCCTATTCCAAATGCACAACTTTCACCTTTGCATCTGAAATAGTGTTATTTCATCTCTGTTAGCATAATTATTTATATAATAACATTTCATTCAAGGTTATTTCTATAATATTTTTGAAATTAAGAGGTAGGTTTAAAGTTCAGCATGTTCCCAAATAAGTTTTAAAATCCACTTTGACAGATTTCAGAAAGAGGAACATAGTTAGATTTTATTCACGAGATTAACAAAGCATTGGTGTCTTCTGTTTGAAAAAAAAAGCTACAGGTGTTTTGCCAGGTTTGCTTCAGCTATAAACTGTTATTTCTAAACATTAAATCTTTGAGAGAATTGGACTTTATCTGTAAGTATAAATACATAATTTTTTGGTGAAAGCAATATCTATTCTTCCCAGAAGAGTGAATTAATAAACATGTGTATACTTGGCAAACACTTTCTTGTCTCTTTTCTTCATCAAAGATATTGTTTGTTAATTTATGTAAGCTTCAGGTTTTAAGTTCTATATGTGAAAGTTTTGTTTTGTTATGGTATATAACCGCACATTTAAATAATAAAACAAAATTACTTTGGTTAGTTCAGGCTTACTTAGCCGTTTAAGTATTTTTCTACCAATCTGAAAATTAGGGTAATTGAGTAGTTGCAATTAATAAGGAATTATGTATCAAAATTCTGGCTTTCTTGTGCACCATGACTATTTCATTTTTGTTCTTCATTGTATTATGATTACTCCAAGATCTTGTTTTACTAAATACTGAAGTTACTCATGACATAATATTTACCTTGCCCTAAACACATTTTACTTTCATGTTCTTATTTTAAAGCTTTATTCCAAAATTTGTCTTTTGTATTGTCAGTCTTTGACTGGATGATTGTGTAGCAGATCTCACCCTCAATATCTCTAAAGGTTTCTTAACACAGAAGGCAGCTGTGTACTTACCTGGTAATAACACCATGCTGGTTTTAAAATATGTCAGGACTCACTTTGGTCACTGACACTATTAATGTAAGTTTTTTACATTAGTGGAGATAATGTGGCCCTCATCTTTTTGTAAGTTTTTAGTTTTCCTATTTTGTCTTCCTTAAGTACATAAAGGAAGACAATAATAATTACTATTCAGAATATTCTAATAATTTTTTGTTGTTATCACTGTAGGGTTTCTTTTTCTTGAAATGAAAGTATATATTGAACATACTGGTTTTGGTTTGGGGTTCTTTGGGTATTTTTTTAAGAAATCTCCTAAGGCCGTAGTAGACTACTAAAAATGAGATCAAACCCATCTGACCATAACTTTTTCAGAAAGAGCTGAAACAGCACTGTATTGGTTTTGATTTGGTTTTTCAATCTTGTTAACTGTGCGACAGAAGTAATATGCTGTGAACCTGGAAAAAAATTGTGTGGCTGGGTAAGAATTGGGCTGTTGTTAAATCAAGTCAAGAATTAGTTAATCTTCTTGTTCCAGCTTTCATTAGATTAAGCGTAAGAGTAAATCGCGTAATACACATCACCATTACTTACTGAGATGAATATGCTACAATGTTCTATTTTTGGGAGATGTATTCAGTTTTTCTCTAAATAGGAACTATTTATCTTAAACTACAAAAGTAGCAAAATAAAAAAAAAAGTATGGTTAGATTTTAATTCGTAGTGTATAACATTTCTTGAACATCATTCAAAAATTACAAAGTTGGTAGTGATATCCAGCTCCCAAAACAAAAAAATGTCACTAATGGGACAAAAGAGTGAGCAGCAGGGATGATTGTCAGATGTAATAAGAGTAAGCATTTTTTCAGACACAGATGAGATTTGCTTTAAAAGGAGGTGATTTAAAGAAGTATCTAACCATTAAATTTGTTTATAAAATAGTTTGTACCCAACACTAAAGAGAAAAGGTTATATAAGTTCAGAGAGTCAAGAATTTATTCTGAATGTACAGGTGAACTGAAATAATTTAATTTTTTTCTCTGTTTGGATAATTACATTTGGTTTTCCCTTCCGTGTTGCCATGCTGCTTTCTGTGTTTGACTTTTGTGTTGCTAACTATAACTAATTACACCGTGTTGTAATGATGGCTAGTTCTGCATTTTTTGCTTTTTAACCGTTGCTTTACTATGTGTAAGCATGAGTGGAAGGCAATGCAGTTTATTCTGCATGACACATTTTTGCATGAACTCTAATTTAACCAAGTATATGAAAAGTGCAGTATTAGGAATTTAATAATTTTGCTATTGCCATTTTAGTGTTTTGCATGTGTATTGTATATGTGTATTTTTTCAGCCTATTCCAAGCCTAAACGAGGCCATCGTAAAACTGCTTCATTTGGCAACATTCTGGATGTCCCTGAGATCATCATACCAGGTATCGCAGACCAGGTGAACGGGTCAGTTGGTTAAGATGCCGGAATAATGATCAGACTGCTAAAATACTTCTTGCTCCAGTTGCTGTAGGACAGAACCAGAAATTATCCCACAAAATTTTTCATAATGCTTCTGTAAAGAAAAGCATAGTATTTTATTACAAGCTTACTTATATCAGTAAAGGATTCAGTCTTCTAGTTCAAACTTACTTCTATTGATAAAGCATTTTTTCCTTTATTATCTTGATGTTTAGAATCTTCTTATAGAGCAAATCTATACATGCAGTCTTTTATTACAGCACCTCATTTGGTGAAAATGGACTTAAGTTGAAAAATTCCTGTCTAGGTAATTATTTTGCCCTGATCTTTGTTGTGTTTGGGCTCCTATTTTTTAATCAAATATTAGTAGAACAAAAAACTTAAATACATTAGGTACAGAATTTCCAATCCGTGTGATATTTGTGATTAAAACATTAACACTTAATCTGTGTAATCCTTATATTTGACTACACTGTTCTAGAGCTAAAATGTGTCTGCGTGAGGTATTTCTGTTGTGTTTAAGTAAATGCAAACTAAAATTATTAGGAGAGGCTTCTGACAGGAAGAAAATCAGTATAATCAGGCACCATAGATGATAATTTCACTTGGGACTTTAATGAATAATTCTCATGTATCCCGGGTCTATTTTTAGTTAGTAGCATATCATTTTCCTTTCCCTCTCCATTTTTTTTTTGCAACCAAAGTGGATTTCTTTCTTTCATTTCATACTTCTCAAAGCCTAAAAATAAGTATAATAAATCCCAAACTGTGATACATATACCATTAGCAGTATGCAAGTCACTTCAGAATTATTTGTCACAGACAGGAAATGCAAATGATAGTATCTACTGCTAATTTAGAAATACACTAGAAACTGTGGACCTCTGAGTCTAAATTGGTGTCATCTGAGGAAGTTACCTTGTAAATCTTGATATTTTAAAGTTGAATGCAGAAGATAATTTTGTACAAAAGTTTCTTTCAAATAACTTTATTGAAGGTTACATATAAAAATACAGAAAAAATGGAGCAATACAACCCATGAAAAGAAAACATCTTTGGCATTGAGTCTAACAAATTGGCAAAAGAGTTTGCTAGGGTAGCTTTCCACTCTAACTTTCAAACGGTCCTGGCCTGCAGTGGCATAAATGAAATCCTGAGAGAGCAAGGAAAGCGAAAGTGGAGAGATCTGTCCATTTTCACAGTGTTACCACATGCTGAGAGCCTGTTAAATAAGCTCTAGAAGCTAATGAGTGCCTCTTCTGTGCACACTGCCTGCACATAACAACACCAAGGCTTCCAAGAAACCTCGAAACTTTTAAGGAATGACGAAGTCAAGTTAAATGAAATGCCATGTTGTTTTCACAATGTACGTTATACCAGTCTATTGGTTTCTTCGTTAGGCAGAGGAGTCATTAGAAATTCTTCACCTGATCTATATTAATTGAACTGGACATGATGAGAATTCCAAGATGAATTATTTAGAATACATATGAGAGAAATAGCAACTTATAGAAATGAAAGAAGTTAAAGGGTTGGAGCAAGCATATTAATGAATTTTCTGAAAATTTAAGTCAAATTTTAAGGTGTTTAAATCAAATAAACAATAACGAAATTCACTGTTACTGTTTTATCAGAAGCAACTATTCATAAAGAGGAGGATTAGAGCATTACATAAAGTGAGTTTTGCTGTGACCAAAAAGGAATAGGGTAAAATCCAGGATCATGCACTGTGGCTCACACACTAGCAACTGTTTCTTTTAATAAGATGACATGGGACCATAGCAGATGTGTGCAGATGAATCCCAGGTAGTATAAGCCACTAATCTAATGCAGTTGTGAAAAACTGAAATCTTAAGCTTCATTTCCAGGAAGAATGAAGAAGCACTGACGCTATTTATAGGCCCTTGTTGAATTTTAATCAGGAATTCAATATACTGTTCTGGTCAGTCATATAAAAGAAACATACATGTGCTCTGAAATAATATCGAGAAGAGCTAATAGGATATTATGGAGCGTATAAAGAAGAATCTGAAAGCATGGCTTTTTTTAGCCCACAAAATGAAAGCTAAAAAATTAATAATTATTGTCTATAGATGAATCTCCAGCTAATAACTAGGAAGAGAGAACTGCTTAAGCTAAAAGACAGTATTGGCACTACAGAAGAAATATGTAAATTGTCTGCAAATACATCGGGGCTGTATATTGAAAGTTTCCTGGTTGTCAGAACAGCTTTCCTGTAATAATCCCAAAGCCAGAAAAAATTGAGATTAATCATTACATGACAGGGACATGATTATCTGCCTAGTAAACTAGTTATATTCATCTGTATGCTTAAAGCAGTTATTCAAAAATACCTTGCTCAGTTATTCTTTTAAAAACAATGTATTTCTCACTGCTTTCCTTTTCTTACTTTCTCAGTTCCCCCAAACTGTCACCTCCATATCAATCCCACCCCGTTATGTTCCATAGCACTTCTGCCCCAGACCCAGCTCCTCTGAACTTCCCTGGGCATGTCCCTCGGTGGGGCGAGCAGCTCGTCTTGGTCCTTGGAGCACCTCGGTCTGTGCTGCTGCCGGGAGTTGTGCTGAGCACATGGTAAAGCAGCTGCTGCCCAGAGAGGGGAGGCACCACGCAGGCATGTTACCGTGAGTCAGCTGCTTTAGGGCAGGGCTATTTTAGAAGTATGAGTACTACATCTGCTATCATTGGGGGTTTTCATAATGTGTTGCCTCAACTGCATTTCGTCCATGAACTGATTATGCTACCAAGGTCGTAAAATACACGTTTTTATCAATTAAAGGTAAAATATTGGCAGAAGGGGAAGTTTTTAATATATATTTGCTCTTCTTTCTAAATTAGTACAATAAGGGTGAATAGAACTTTTTGTTCATTTAAGATGCTATTTTGTATTGCTAGCTTACAAACTTAGAAACTGAAAAATGGATCAAATAATTCCTTCTTTGTCTAACAGCATAGCAAGAGTTTGCAGTGGTGGTATCCTGCAATCAGGTAGACAAACGATGTATCAATTCTTTTTTTTTTAATTTACCATGTATATATGGAATAGGTTATAAGCACCAACATTTTTTTATATATATATATATATATATATATATATATGAAAAATGAAAACCCTAGAAAGTGCAAAAGGTTTAAGTAGCTTTATGTTTAAAGAAACAAAAATATCTGAATTATAGTTTGCATACCTTTTCAGTACAAACAAGTCAAACAGCAAACCTTCAAGTACAGCCTTTTCTTCGCTGGCAGTGTTAGACATCTCGTGCATTTAGCATGTGTGCATTTGACTTTATAATTTTGTCATCTGAAATTCTGCCACAGCATTACGATTTTTGTAGCATTGACACTGCATAAATGATTACTCAAGATGGACACGTTTTGTTGAGGATCTTTAGGAAGGGGATAGGAATTATGGATGTTTTAGGTCTGTAATTTTGCTATCTACTGTTAAAACCAGTATGTACCAGAAATCCCACCCTTGGCTTCCCAAATCACTTCATTGTTCTGGAATTCAGATCAATTTTTTAACTTCTTCAGAATGTCTTCTAGCACTGTTACAGTCACTGATCATCCTGCACTGTGAGAGAGGTTTGAGTCTTGTAGGTGTGTAAGGAAGAGAGAGTACTGTGAGTAAATAAGAAAGTGTAAAAGGAGACGCCAGTATCTGTTAAAGGGCAGGGAGAAGAGGTCATAGCTGGTCTGGATGTTTGGCGGTGGGGTGGGGGTGGTGATCAAATAAGTTGTAGAATTTATTTTTGCCTGCAGTATGTGGGGCAGGACATAATGGAAGTTTCCTGCTCCTTTAGAATTTAATTTTTTTTTATTTTAGAAAATAAACAACAGTGTGCAGAATGGTTTTTTTTGAGGCCAGGAAGTATGTTTGTGACATTTGCTTTTTAATCTTAAAATCCTGTAAACTACCAAAAGCCTGACACTGGGCATGAAGCTACTGTAGATGAACTTCTGTGCTTGTACAAATCTCTTAGTTATTATAATGAGGAAAAATTTGTTTTAAATGGACATAGAAGTAAGAACAAGATCATAACTGTGAGAGGAAAGCATAAAGAAGTAGCAGTGATCATTTCAAATAAATATTTTCTGTTGTGTTTTATATTTTTCAATTGAAATTTTTCTTGAATCTGGAGCAATAAGTATTTGTTGATTTGTAGTCTGTTTCTGCCTTGTCTAAGCTATTTGCCAGATGTCTGCAGTAGTTACACTAATTAAAATGGCATTGCCTAGTAGAGCTTGCTCTTCCCTCATGCTACTAAATTGAAGATATTTCATTTAAAGGTGTTCATTTTTTACAACACAGTAGTTTTGGCCCCTTTTTCTCTCTCCCCTCCCCCTCAACCCAAGGCATTTTCTTTTCTTCCTTGCACCCCACCCTGATTATTTTAACATTTTGGCAGCCACGTTCTAATATTTCAGCAACAGATGTGCTGGGTTCTTCAAATTCACAAATGTTGCTAATCTGAAATGAGAATTTCAGATATTTTTGCAAGCCTATTTCAGCTGAGCTAATTTTATAACAGTGTTGTTGAATGAAATGTGCACATAATTTTGTGTCAGTTGTGGGTGGATTGCACATATCTTGAATACTGAGATGAGCTGTGGCAGCCAGATGAAGTATCCATGGCACAGAATTCTATTAAATGTATAATCTTGTTTGTTAAACGATTACATAGTGAAAAAGTTCACTGCAAATGAACAAGTTCAGACATTTTGACATGGATCAGTCATTCACATGATCCCTAGTATCAAAGTATTAAAAATAACTTAGCCGTTGTTGCTTAGGTAAGTATATACTTTCCCTGAATTTCAGAAGCAAAAGATCAAGACCACAGAACAGTTGCAATTCAAATTCATTTGTAGTCAGAGCAAAGAATATATTCCTGTTCTAGAATACTGCTTGATTTTCTTACGTGCTTGTTTCTTATTGTACTTGCTATAAATGTTAGATGATAAAATGTCATGACAAATTGGTAGAGTGACACTGAAAATTTTTTATTGCTGTTTTGTGGTAGTGGGTTCCTACATGTAATAGTACCTATATTTAAAAATTTAAAGGATTATTAAATGTACTGATCAGTATTAAATAGTCTTACATTTTTGTAGTAACTGTTGCAATTCAAAACATGTGTCAGGATAGGCTGTGGAGTCATATGGAAATGATGGTGAATGAGAAGTATCTAAAAGGTTAAAAATGCAATGCCTTTTCCAGGGCTTTGAGTGAGCTGGGTTGGTTGCTGAGTGCAGGGCCGCTGGGCGAGGGGCTGCCACGGCTGCGGTACATGTTTCAGATGCTCCCCTCCAGTAGCAAAGTTACGTAATGCAGAGCTAAGAGCAAGAATTTTGAGCATTGTCAGCTGTTAGTCAGGACATTTTGGTGTTTCCTTTTGGACAGCTGACCTACTCTCAAGAGATAATATAAACAATCACTGTAATAAAAATCAAAGTAGCCAGGGAGATTCTGTTGCATAATCTCCTTTTATTTTTAAGGAGACCTTGTTTCCTGGAAATGCCTTTGATTGCGTGTCAGTGTTAAAATTTAAACTGTTTTATGTAGCTGTCACTGGTGGATAATTGTGAACAGGTGGAAGGAGAAGAGGAAAAGATTACAGCATTGTGCTCCGTAGGTTGATGGTGAGATGTGATTTAGCTGAACAGTCCCCTTTTCACACTTCTCAGAGCATGAGAATAGGACATAGTTTCGTTCCTCTGAAGGAGGCAGAAGACCAGAAGAAAGCACTTTCATTTCTTCATCTTCTTGAGGGGAGCAGCACACAGGCAGAAGTCCTTGCTGTGTTCCTTGAGCAAGCCAAAGAGCAACAGGTTAAAGCTGGCAGCCTGTTATCTTCGCGGTTTAGCTTTTAGAAATCCCCATAACGTAACGCACTTGAAATAGATGTCGTCATCAGCTCCTGCCCCGAGTACTAAGCCTGACCAAATACATGTGACAGAAGATGGTGGAGTAGAGTGCAGCAGCTATTCATGTGGTAGGAGTGGTTATTGTATTAGGGTATACTTTTTGTTGACAGGCCAGCATGTTTTGAGTTAAAATTCTGCAGCTGTCTCTCTCTCTCCCTCTCCCACTTTGTCTCTGTGGATTTGTAGAAATTCCAAGCTCCTCTGCAACAGTCGCACCCTTCTTATTTTGTTCTGAATATATTTCACTGGTTTGTTTTTGTTTTGTTTTTTTCCCAGCAGGAAACGGACAGCAGAGGCGCAGATCCATTCAAGATCTTAGTGTTACTGGAACAGAGTCCAGTCAGGTAATGTGGTTCTCATCACTTCTTTGCCTTTCAGTAAAGTCAGCACCAAATCCATATTGGGGAACTGGTCTGGAAATCTTCACCTTCGATGCTTTTGTAGAAATGATGTGGAAGCTTGGCAGACTGTAGCGTTGCTTGTATTGAATTTAAATGATTCCATGAGGGTAATTTATGAATGAGCTCTAGATGAGAAGCATTTTCTGTATAGTTTATGCAGTATTCAGCATTTTTACATACACATGGTTTTTGTGTACCACTTAATTTGTCTGAGGGCAGATATTACTCAGGAAAGCCTTTTCTTCTCTCTGTATGTAGAAAACAATTGTAATTAGTACTTACTATCTGAAGCAGTTACACATACATTAGACTAACATTTTGCATGAAAACAAAAAGCATGTGCATCACTATTATAAATGTTATTTATTGTCAATCTCTGAATCCTAAATAGTAACTTACAGTAAAATTTCTCCATTTCTTGTGAAAGATTTACAGCAGGGTGTTGTCACAAAGTTTTGTTTTAAAAAAAGACTATTTCAAAAAAATATTTTATAATAACATAGCTCCTTGTCTGGTATTCTAACTGCCATGGTAACAGAAACAGTGGTATGCTACATAACATGCTCTTAGTTTAATGTCATTTTTAAATGAGAGAAGTACAGCTAATTCTTCATTCAGATGTGTTTATTTTGTGTTTTTAATTGCTTCAGTAATTCACAGGGCCTATTTGATCCTTAGTGTGAATGGGCAATTTTGAGATCCCTACTATTAATTGGATGTGGGATACTGAAGCTTAGCATATTCATCAGGTTAATCAGGTTTGCATACTAAACAACTGACTGCAATAATCTAAAATAGGTGGTAATTCTTGGGGTGTGTAGTTATCAGGAAGATGAACATTCGATCCTTAATTTGGTGGAGTATTATAGCCACAAAAACCTCATCAATCCTGTAGGTATTAGTAGAACTTACTATGTACATCTATCAGAAAATAACAGATGAGTCTTAAATACATTTTAATATCTTCAGAGAAGACAGGTTTATTAGAAAGGAAAGAAATGAATCTGCAAAATTGAGGAAAGAAATATATTAGCCTATTCAGTTAATTGTAGAACTAAAATTATGTAAGATTTGGGGGAAAAAAATTAAGTGACAGTACATCAGTTACACCAAATTGTGCTGATTGTATGGATATATTTAATTATAGCTTTTTTTATTTAGAAGTTTTCATTCTGTTCATTTTAATGAATGATTACTATTTAAAAATATAGAATTTCAGCATTTGCTTCATATCTTAATAACTTATAACAATCTTTCTTTGAAAGTTGTTCTGCTGCTTGCATGGATGTTCAAGCTAAATTGTCCTTGTGACCAGGAGGATACAAAATTTTTTTTTTATGTTTACTTCACCAATTTTATATGTGGGTCTGTAGAAGTACCAGAATCACATTTTACTTTCTTGCTTCTGATAGTGTACATATTGGAAATATATGAAGAAGAATTGCCGTTATCTGTTTCTATCTTGCAGTTTTTGGAAACATTATGGTAAATCTGGAAAACATAATATTTTAACAGGCAGGAAAAATGCACTTTCAAAGATATTTTTGCACTGTCCATATAAACGAGTAGTGAATTTTTATCCCCTTTTTGGTGTGAGAAGGGATTGAAAAATCCTGAAGCTAACGCTAACTTTTGATGTACATAGGTTTGTATATTAAAAAAAATGAATGGAAAATGAAGGAAGTAATATGCTTAAAGATTTAAGATTATTCTCTATGTATTTCTATAGCTCTGGACCTCAGTGCCTTGCATTTTTATTAACAATCTTGAACTGCTATCAGTATAGCAATCTACAAATCAAAGCTGAAAAAACATCTGACTAGCGTAGCTCTGGTCAGTTCATCCTATCTCCCCACATGCACCATACCATATATAGGGTATCCTTTCTAATGTGAAAATCCCCTTCCCCCTCCCTCCCTTCATTGCAAACATCCTTCTTCCCCGCATTCCATTCTCCTTTGCACCCACCCTGCAGCACGGCCTTCTTCACCAAGCAGCCATGGCACTGCGTGCCTCTACTCCCGCACCCAGGCTGTGTATGTCCCTATCCCACTCAGAACTGAAGGATTGACAAGGTGCCTCTTTTCTGGTTTTTAACCGTTTGACTGATACACTAAAGCTGATCAGAAATCTTTTTATTGAACATATTTTTTCTGAAAATTGGTGCTGTGTTAATAGCAAATGATTCTGTTATAACTACTGGGTTTTAATCAGGAAGGTTTTCTTAAGGTTTTTCTCTTAAGGTGAAGGAAAACACCAGGCTTGATAATAATAAATATACTGAACTTTGGGTGCTTACCTGAACGCATAGACCAAGACTCTTGTCTTCCTTTTTAATTGCTTGTCTGTTTTAATTCAACCACGTTTTGTGTTTTGTGATTGTATGGATATTTTATTTCTGTGTAGTCTTATAAGAATTTTTTGTGTGGTTTGTATGGCTGCTGATTACTATGTATATGTTGTTGAGACACTTAAGGCACTTTCTGGTATTGCTGCTACTGACGTTCTCGATAGCAGATAGTAATAGAGCTTTGCAGATGGTTTTACTAATCATCATCAACAGTTTAGGTAGGAAAATATGCTAAGTCAAAGGTTTTCTGTCATTGGATCAGCTGTTGGATTGATTTAGTGTTGAGAATATATGTTTAAGTCTGAATTTGCATGAGTTTCTCTAGTACTTGGTGACCTTAGACTGGTCGTTACTCCAAGTGACAGGAGCAGCACTGACACAACTGTCTCTGTAAAGTCAAATGCTACATTTTTGTTTCTTTCCATCCATATATTGTGATGCTTTATTCATTTCTCCGCATAATTTTTTTTTTTTGCACTGATTTGTTTTTTCTGCCTTTCTATTTCCCTGTACATGCATTTTAAACCATTATAGTGTGTCATCTGTCCAGCACTACTGCTCTTGCCTAAACACCTTTGTAACACAGAAACACGTGTGCAGACTCTGAACTGCACATTAATACTTTTGCAGCCATTAATACTTTTGGGGACTTGAAGGAACACAGCAAACTGGTATTTACACTGCATAGAGTCTTAACAGAACTTGAAGTTTTATACAGATACTGAGAAACACATCTGGCATAATCATGCAAGAACTGATCAGATACCTAGTAAGGTATTCATCTCCTTCCCTGTGTACCATGTATTGATTTGGTTGCTTTGATACATCATCTTTCACAGACTGTCTATCTGATTAGAGTATCAAAACTAACTACTACCTTTTTTAAACATTGTTTTGTTTTGGGATTGATGGTTTTTGAGGAAGGGGAGTTGTTGTAGCAGTTGCTGGGCCTTCATAATTCTTACAGTTTACTTTTAAGTGTAAAAAAATATATTAAAGAAAACCATGTACTGTGTTGAACAGTTGAGAAGCAATGTCAGAATGTACATGCCCACATGCATGCAAGCTAAGTGGGATAATTTGGGGGATCTGATATTGTACAGATGACTCATTCTCTCTGTGAGATTGTGAAATTTGTCACAGATGCGCATTCATTTTTTTTCTCTCATGCTGAGATAAAATTCACAGATGAGGCGATGAGGAGACAGGGCTAATAATGATGATTTCTTTAAATTGTGTTGCCCACTTAAATTAAACTAGGACATGGGATGTTATTCCTCAGAGCACGTGAGCTTTTCCAGACTGCAAGTCTTCAAGAAGTGGAAGCTAAAAGCTAGGAATGCCACATGAGTTTGACTGCCTGGAAGAGAAGATTTGAGAATAACTGCTAAAAAGTCTATTAAGCATACTGAGATACCTGGAGGAAGCAAGGATGAAAGGATACTGGTGAAGGGGTAGCAGAAACTGATTGCTAAAGTACAGGCGCTGGTTTACCTGTCAGAGGGGCTGATATCCAGGAGACCTAAAGCATCTCACTCAACACACACTCAAACACTGAAGTTTAACTGGTGTTCAGTTTTGGGAACTTCCCTTTGGCTTTGTAGTACTTTTTAGATGTGCCTCCTGTAGGAATCCTTCATTTCTATCTCTAGTTATTTCATCTAAATAATGTTATCAAGGAAATTTTTTTTTTATTTTTTTTTGTGTTGATGGACCAAAACAAGTTGAGAAGTTCATGTAACTAGAGTAGTTCTCAGGTGCCCTTTGCTATCAACTGTAGATACTCAACAAATCTCTTTTTGCTTAGAGGACTCACATGCTGTTAAAAGTGATCTGTCTTCTGATCTTTCACATCAGCAGGGTGTGTTCATCGATTGTATCTGAGGACACTGACAGTAAGCTCAGCAACTTAAATCTTGCTTAATATCAACTAAGACACCAACACAAAAGCTTTTTCAAAATGTCTGATGCCATCATCTTGAAATATCCATCAGATTATTTTAGAGTAGTTTATTGCCCTGTGTCTGGCCATTAACTTAAAACACTAAATGCTTAAAAAACAATACGAAAGAAACACTATGCAGTCAAAATAATGGATCTTGCAGTGTGTAGTATCTTGTTACTCTGGATTGTTACCTGACTGAAATCCTGGCTTTTTAAAACTTAAATTAAGGTAGGATATTTGGAAATCATAAAGAATCATAAAGAAATATGGTTTCCAGGAAATGTGTATTTGAATGCTTCTTTTGAAAAATGGAGACATTTAATCATTTCATGATAAATACACCATCTTGAAAGTAGTTGTATTTTAGTTGCATCTTTTCTTTTTACTTGATTTTTTTTTTTGCAAAACTCATTGGGGCTTATAGTCTTAAGTCCTTTACTATGTTAATTTTATGTCAGTGAGGGGGTATATGAAATACAAACATACATATTGTAAATAATTATTCTGAAAAAGAAGCTCAGTAGAATAATGAAATCTGTATTATGTTTTTGTGCTTTGGTAAACAAAAGGGTTGGAGAAGTCAAACGGTGTATAAAAGAACATCCTAGAGAATTTTGATTTAGTTCTTATTTTGCTGCATGAGGGACAATGTACTCATTTTCTGATTTTTTTATTTCAATTGATTGATCCTTTTTGATTAAACATTTATTTCATGTTTTCTGAAGATGAATCACATAACCTCTGAGTTAACAAAAGAACCATAAGAAAACTGTAGATTAATATGCTGCAGTTTAGTGCAGTTACTAAGCCATGTTCCTTTAGCCAAATGTAGTTTCACTCATTGATTAAGCATTGGAAACAAACTATTTCTTCCTTTCGTTATGGAGTTGCTAGATTGCACTGAATGGTGGTGTGAAAATTCCTAGACATGTTGTCATGCTTTTCTGTAAAGATCTTGAACACATTGTTCAGCATTGCATTTACTATGCTGAGTAGCAAAATTGTATCAATTTATTTTACACAGTACAGATGGAGTGCAAATAGGGATGAAATTATCCCTGCACTGCATGTAAAGTTGATCAAACTGTCAGGACAGCTTTCAGGGTAAAAGCCTGGGGAGGAGGGTATTTTGGAGGTTTGTAGGTTCAGATTTCTTCCATTTTTTTTCTTTTTAATGAACTTTTCAAAAATCTTCTGTTAACTTGTCATTTTGTTTTGTTTTGTCATTTCAGGAGAGTAGAAACAGCAGTAGATCATCTAGTCCTAGTGTGAGAATGATCACTACCTCGGGACCAACCTCTGAAAAGCCAACTCGTAATCCATGGACACCTGATGATGCAGGTAATCCTTTGTTCATTACTTAAATTTTTGCCTGTAAGAAATATAAAATATTTATTTGATTGTGGTTACTTAGACAATAAAAGTAAGCAATGAAAGTCAAGGTCCATTTTAGTTCTGCTTAAATTAAATCATTACATTACTGACTTGTTTTTCATGTGGGCTTTGAGAACACTTTTTTATAGATTATATTGAGTTACATAAACTTGTTAGTATTTTGCTTGTAAGAAAGTACTGTACATATGCAGTGGTACTAATATTTAGTGAAGATCTTGTTAGCACCAGTTTTTTACTATAGTGTGGTTTTGGAAAATTGGAGGAATAGACATCTTGTTACATTTTAGTCTTGTGCATTCATATTATGAATGTACATTTAAAACTTTTGTTGCTCTGAGATCTGGAGTGAAATGCTGTGTAGGTGAGTATCAGGAATAGGTTAATTCTGTTTATCATCTCCATTGTAATTTGCTTATGCAGAATGTACATGTGTACACAAAATTACTGTTTTTGAATGAACTAACGTGTCTGCAGAAATGTTGTAAATACTTCTACTCTAGCATCACTATTCTTTTGTTATGAAATAGGATTAAGAATGAACATAATTGAGTAGTTCAATTCGGTTTTAGAAGTCATAATGCATTCCATAATGAAAAGAACCAGTATTGGACTGCATGAAAACAATGGATCCCACAAATTCCTTTTTAGAATATAAATAAAAATTATAATTTTGTTACCAAACTGTACATATTGAATCTTAAACTTAGACTCAAGCTGGTACTTCACAGTATGTCAAATTCTGAAATCTTTTTACTGTGATCCATTTCATCTGGCTGATCAGTCACGTTTATTCTTTTCCTCTAACCAAGTACAAAATGGAAACTCACTTGTGGACTAACTCTTGCATAGGCATATGTATATATACATACATTTGTATGTATATATGCACACTTGTATTTTACCAAATATAAGGTGATTATGTAAGACTTGTACTTTGGGTTTTTTCCCCCTGCTTTACTGGGAGGAGGACATCATACTCTTGCATTTAGCTTCTGTGTTTTCTTCTTTCTGTCCATTGTTACTTTGCCTGATCACATTCTGTGCCCTATCACTCATAATTTCCCAAAGCCCTTGCCCATTGCTACAGCCCTGTGCCTTCTTCTACAGCATGGATCCTGAGTTTCTTTGGGCAGTGAGCACTTATGGGAATTGCTGCCTCACATGAAAGCAAGGTCTTACCTAGTCACTAGTTCATTGGGAACTGAAAGCTGCTAATCCTATGCCAGTGCAAGGACAGTTTGTGCCACATCTTTGTTCTTAAATGCAGCACACACTAGAGCAAAAGTCAGGTCTGTTTTCTTGCCCACAGAAATCCCTCACCTTATACTCAGGTAAATACAGAATGTGCCATATGTATATTTTCTTGTTAGGTTTATGCAGTCCATGAACAAAGAATTGTTTGAGTTTCTAAGGAGAGAAATAATTTTGGTTCTCTGTAAAAGAGGGTACATTTTTAATTTAATGAGGCAAAATGATAAAACAAGGATACAGCTGAATCTGGTCAGTCACAGGAAAAGTTGCGGTTCTGTGACACTGTTGAAAGGCTTGAGAATGTCATCTGAAGTATTTTGCATGTATTCATGTATTTGAAGCATTGCAGTGATGCCTTTGTTTTAGCAGTATCCATTTACAGCAACAGTCTAATGTAGGGAAGGACTTTTTATATTGATCTCATTTAAGATACTGTAGTGATTAAGTCTCTGGTTTTAGGGTTGTTTTCTTTTCCTTTTTTTGTTTTTACCACCTTCCAATTTCCTTACAAGCATACACTTAACCACTTTTTCTCCATTCCCACCCTCTTATTTCTGTTTCCTTTTGAAGCTGCTCTTGGAGATAGCATAGTCTTTGAGGGCAACACCTTAGTTTCTCTACCACGACTACTCTGTGGCAGGTGCTTTTGGGGTATGGGTAAGCAGCCCCTTTTTTTTCCCACCTACCCTCCTCCATATAATCCTCTAGTAGCAATAATGCGGCTGTAAAATCAGTAGTTTCTCCATGTGTCTTCACTCTATGTCTCTTAAAGCTTAACAGTAACCTTGTGATCCCCAGATTCTGGGCTACTAGAAGATAGGGTCTGTAAGAATTCAGAAACATGTGAAATCTGGAATGAAAGCACTAGAGAAATCTGGAGTAACTGCAGCATAAAAAGAGAGCAGCCCGGCCCAGGAGGCAGATTGGGTTCCATGCTACCCACAAAGTATCTCTACAGAGCAGAGAAGATGTCCTAGAGCATGTTGTGATGAAGAAACTTAGAGACCTCACTGAGAGCAGGTTTCAAAACTGAGCAGGAGGTTGTGCTTATTTTATTTTGGCAGAGCCGATTTGCACAGCTTCTAATTTTAAAGTGATTAGATGCATGGGCTGGCTGGCTGATCCTTCATAAACAAGAATGAAATGGCAATTTTTTTATAAACAGAAATGATTGCAAACTGTACAAAAATAGTATTTTTAAAATCTGTATGCTGTTACATGGCTTCTAGAAATGTAGGTTGATAACCATAATCTTTATTTCTTCTTGGTGTGGTAGACCATACTTTTGAATTTTTAACTGTCAGAAAAACAAAATGATTCATCTGCCTTGGGATTGAATTGCTGCTATTTCCATCTGCCTGTCCACATTCAGATTGTGTTTTGTGAAATTACTTAGAATTCTTGTTTTTGTCCTATAAGAATAGAATAAACTCTTGAAAATACATTAAAATTTTCTTGGTATTGTTACAGAGACCAATGGGTCAGATAACTCCATCCCAATGGCATATCTTACATTAGATCATCAGTTACAGGTAAAAAATAGACACTTTATTAGATTCTTAAGCTTGCATTTCATTCTAATGTGTGACTTTTGGGCTGCAAAATATAGTGCCACATATTTACCTGGGTTTATATTCTGTCTAATTTTTGACCAAGGCTAAAAAAAATATATTACGTAATCTGAGATTGGTTGACTCAGATTTGATCAAGCTATTAAAAACAAGCCCTGGGAAACATGATTCCTAAAACCAAATGTAAGCTAAGTTTGACTGTCAAAATAAGACATTATTTGCTTGAGTGTTACTGAATTAAATTGTTGTATACACTTTATTTGTTGTATGTGGGATCAAACACTACTTTGATTTTTGTGACAGGTGTCAGGTTAAAAACCACAGATTTGAGGTTTGAGTCATCTTTGACATTGGTGCAGTAACGTTTTCCAGGGCATGGTTTAACACTTATTTTTAAAAGCTTACCAGTTTTTAAAAGATGTTATAAATACACTGCAGAGACATTCTAACACACTATTTACTAAGATATCAGTTCATTAGCCTTTAACTTGTCTGATTTATTTTCAGCCTCTAGCACCGTGCCCAAACTCCAAAGAATCTATGGCTGTGTTTGAGCAGCACTGCAAAATGGCACAAGAATATATGAAAGTTCAGACAGAAATTGCATTGCTGTTGCAGAGGAAGTAAGTAAAATGTGGTTTACTTTTTCTGTTCTTTTGTGTGGTTTTTTTTACACAAAGTCTGTTCTCTGTGACTGTTATATCTGGCTTTATGAAGTAACATTTCATAATTATTGTCCAGCCTTAATCTCAGAAATACTGAGCTGCTCAGTACAGGTGAGATAGAGCAGATAATTGAAAGTTTTAATCAGTGTCAAGACACTTCTTCTGGACAAGTCCTAGATAAGTCTGTGGCACATCTGTATTTGTGACAAACTAGTAATGTTTGTTTGTATCATATCAAATGAAAGATCTGGACTGTTAAAGAACCTTGGAATTTTATTTACAATGCTGTCCATTAACATGTTTTCAGTTGTAATTTGTAGATAATCACTTAGTTAATGGATTGTAGAATTTTTAGTAATATGTCAGTGTTACTCATTTTGCAGTTAGTTTTTATCTTTATCTGACTTTTGTCAAGCATTGCATTTACAACAGTATTATCAACACACATTTTATGTTTTTCTGCCAGGGGTTTAGGACCTAATACTTTGACCTTTTTATGTACCTTCTCCTTGTGCACCAGAAATAAACTCTTTCCTCTTACATTATGTACATGTGTAAGTGAAGCAACTGCATGTATTTTTGTATTAGGGTGAAAATTATTGCTGATTCAGAACTTGAGTTCACAATAAGTTCTGTTGTGCTCTACTTACCCTTTCTGTTTCATGATGGTGGGGAGCGGTTCTGAGAGGTCACAGTTCTGAGAACTCCCATGCTAGACCAAGTTATCAGCTTGTTACCCATCAGTGTCTGAGCCACTGCAGGCAAGCAGTTGTTAATAGGGGGCTTGCCTTGGAGTTTATGGATTAGTTAATGAGAAAAATGTGTTGTGTAAACCTTTTGTACGTTAGAAATAGCATACAGAATGGGGGGAAAATGTTACTGTAAGTTTGAACTCCTATCATATATTCACTTTTGGCTTAGTATCCTGAGAACAATTTGATTTTTTCACATGCAACTGGAATTTTTAGACTTGATGAGGAGATACTGAAGCTAGACTGAATATCTTAATTTTGATTTTATTTGTGTTATTTTTAAGGGTCAATAACTTATATAAAAATGTGTTTCTGTTTCAAAACTCTTAATTCTCTGCTTTTAGATTCCTACTAGGGTTTTTTTGTAGTAATTTTGTATTGACATTTCTTCCAAACTGTTTTTTCTTACTCAGAATGTAGTTGTCCATGGGCGTTAAAACAAAAAATAGTGTTGTGATGGATGAATTTAATGCTGGTTAAGGTAGTTATTAGTTCAGCCCTCAAAGAATTATTAAGTTTTCTTCAACTGTAATTACAAACAGTATGGCAACAATTAATTAACATGAACTTTCTCCTTTACTATTTTGTTGCAAAAATATTGCTGGCAGCTTGCCTTCTTGTTGCCTTGTAAACAAATAGTAAAACAAACTGCTACATCAGTTTTGCAGAATAAATTATAGCAAGTTTATCAGCGTGTTTGCTCTTCTAAAATTGCTGCTAAAAAACAATGTACATTTATGGTGTAAATTATGTGAAATGCCAGTTACAAAAATAATTGCCTTGATTCTGCTTTTCCACTGCTTTCATAAGTTCAAGTACAAGTAGAAAATAGCACTTCACTAAAAAGTTATGAAAAATTACTGCAATTTTGTATTTTAAGTTGTCTTTAGATATTTAAAATGTGCATATACGCAAAATTAGAGTTGAATATATATATGAAATTTTATGTGGCTCCTTAGACGTTTTGCTGTGACCTTTAGAACTATGTCTGAAAGACATTATCTAAAGGACAATTTTAGAGCGTATGTCTTGCAGCTAGTTTAAAGTTTAAATGTGGACTTGATTTGGAAGAGAATTTTTTCCCAGACTACATTAAAGAATAAGACTTTTTTGGTGCAAAATATCACCACCTGTGAGTTCAGATTGATAATCATTTACTGATTTGAAATATATGAAATCATCTACACACAAATAGAAATAGATTATAAATTACAATTACTTTTTTTTATTATTATTTTAGACAAGAACTAATAGCAGAACTGGACCAGGATGAAAAAGACCAGCAAAACACATCCCGTCTGGTACAAGAACATAAAAAGCTGTTAGATGAAAACAAAAGTCTCTCAACATACTATCAGCAATGCAAAAAACAATTAGAGGTCATCAGAAATCAGCAACAGAAACGGCCAGGCACATCATGATTTCCTGGGACCTTTCAAATGAAAAATATGCACAGAAAAGACTGATTATTTTTTTTTTAATTGTTATTATTATCCCTTATTAAGACAGCTCATGAGTGTTAGCTTCTTGGTGTGATCTGTACTTGTCTGCTACACTTAACATCATTTAATTTTCTTTTTCCTATGGTGGACATCCAGTTCAACAGGTTAATCGAATAAGGTGAGAAAACAATGACTTGAATTAACCAACAGCCCTCAATTTAAAGCAAGAAGAGTGGCTGCTTGCATGCTCCTTGTGTGAAGGCTAGCCTAACAAGTGTTAAGGAGGCTGCTAAATTTTAAGACCTTATTTTTAGTTTTTGGTGTTACCTCGATAAGAGAAAAAAAAAACCCAAAACTTTCCTGTTTAAGAATGGTTTTGTTCCAGTGTCTCATCTCATACTATTATTATGATGATTGTTTTCAAGACTTTAAACAGGCTCCAGGCTGCAGAGGTGATCTTGGCTGACCACAGTAATTCATGATGCATTAGTGATGCCTTTACCTGTAGACATAGTATATTTTTTCCACATGCAAAATGGTAGGCAAACTGATGCCAGCGTCCTTGGTTCAGTGCTTGATAGCCCTGCATTTTGACTAATATGTTTCTTGTAATCTTGCTTTCATAAAATATTTGAAGTAAAAGACTGTATTTTGTTTACTTTCTTGGGGTGAATGACATGCAGTTTCACTTAATTACCGGGCAAAAGTTATGAAGGTGATTCATTGGGCAGAGTTAGTCCCTTGTGTAAAGAGGAAGAATCAAAAATGTGTGAAAGCATGTTTTAAACCTTTAAAGCTTTTGTCCCTCTAGCATCTTTGGATGGAAATTCAGAAAGAAAATTATTACAAAACTTGAAATACTTGCTCCTTTTATGTTTTTGCTCCCTTATTCGTTTTGTTTTGTTTTTCTTACAACTTATTTGCTGAAAAGCATTTACCATAAATGTAAATAAGTTTGTTTTAGATAAGGAGAGAAGGGTTTGGGGAAATGAATTTATTTTAAATAGCAAATTATGAAATGGAGTTGAGTGTGCAAATAGCGGAAGCTATTAAGAACATGAGGGAAATGGCTTAGATCTCCATCAGGAATCTCAGTTATTCTACTCATTTGAACATAGTTCAAAAGAAGTCCATCACAGAATGCCTGCTGCCTCTGTGACTGAAGAGTTGCATTTAATGAACTCAAGCAGAATATGTAATGCTCAGTGTTGTTATTCACCATTATTACATGGGTGAAAATAACTGCTTGTTTTACATTGCAGATTAATTACTTGGATTATGAATTAACTGGTACAAAAATGAGGCACTTCTAAATATAATGATAAGTTATTCCTTGCGTAAGTTCTTGAGGTACCCAGTTGTGGGCGGGATTTTAGTAACGCTCCTCTGCAAAAGAAAAGTAGAAAATTGAAGTTTAGCTGTGGAGCCCTCCAAATAAAAGAAAGGTAATCTGAAATTTGACTTACACGTATTTCAAATAAATGGTTATTTATAAGAGCCCATGAGCAGAACTTGGAAAAACCTTAAGGGTAAAAACTTCACAGTATTTTCTCTTTTCTTTCCTGCCTACTTGATAAAAACCATTAGTACTGTTGTGCTTATCTGTGAACAGCAAAGGTGATGAACAATGTACTAAACAGTGTCATCCTGTCTTGAAAATAAATCTGTTTTTGGCAAACCTTTGGGAGTTAGAAACCCTTCCCTCATTTTATTTAAATAAAGGAAGGGTTATCATTTCCAAAACCTGAGCAGATAATTTGATTAGTTAGCTGAAACTGATATTGGGATCAACTTAAGGGCACACATATTTATAGCAAAATGTAATTGGGAGAGAAAATAACTGTAGTATTAGGAATAGCACAAGTTATCCAGAGCATTGCTGTTCGCATACATCTGTCCATCTACCAAAATGGAGACACTCGATGATCAGTAGCTTACTTAACATATGCTGAAGCATTAAGTAGAGCAGATAAATACTGATGCTCAACTTCAGATGCATGGTTGATAATTACCTACGCAAAATCATTTACTAGGACAGTTTTTACATTTCAGCGTCATAAAACAGATACGCTTAGGGTAAATCAGTTTGGTATGTGAAAAGTCACTTTATGGCAAGGTTTGAGTAATGGTACATAATACAAAAGTCTGTTCTAGCAGTTACTTATGACTTTTCAGGGTTTACATTATAAAGGGTCTCAGATTGTAAAATAAGTGCTGTGCTACTGTGCGCTGTCGGCTCCATTCAATAGTTAGGTTATATTGCTCTTGTAATTTTCAGAGGGAATTTGGAGTTTGACCTTTTGCCTTCAAATTGTCCCTTTCTTAATTCCACCAAAAATGAAAAAAATATTTGCCCAAATTTCTCACTGAAGATTTCCATGTGGCAAAATTTGTGTATCGTAACAAAAAAACTTATAAGGGTAGAACAGTTTAACAGCTTAATTTTCAGTGGCCTTTATTGTTTTCATAAGGCTCTTGGTTTAAAGTTGTTTACAAATATACTTATATTTTTCTGTTAAAGTATCTGGACTGTTCAGGAACTTTTTTCATGTACTCTTTTGTCCAGTTAAAGCTGTTCCTCTAATAATAGAGGTGAAACATCTAGTTTTGGCTGGGCATTGCCTTCTCAGAAAAGGTAACAGGCTCTGCTTTTTGTTACAGTATGTGTTCTGTAAGATATTGTGTAATGGAAAGTATGCTTCTGTACACTATACAGTTCTTCCAAAATGCTTTTTTAGGCTTTTTGGTTTGTTATTTTTTCTGATGAGGAGTTGAAGATTGTAATTCAAAACTTGTACATAAAATGGTGAATGATTTGATATGATTCAGGAATGAGCAGTGTGGCTTTCTGCTACAGGGTTTTATTCCTTTGTCAGGAATTAATTAGTAAAAGCTGAGAGCCTTCCACAAACATGTAGTGATGCCTCAACACTTGCTGCAGCATCCGTAGTCTCTGATGGAATCCCACACTGGGTGGAAGATGATCATTGTGCAGTTGTTCCGACTGCTGAAAAAAATTCTTCTGCTATGAGCTCGTCCCTTCCTGTGTGCAGAAGTAGGGTGTAGGATGAATAGTCCTACTCGTGAGTATCAAGATATTTTAAGAATGCCACGTCTTCCTTGTGGATGTTCTGCAAAGAGATACGGTCTCATCTTCCGTTCTTCAGTTCAGACAAATTCGATTCCCTGGAACTTCTCTATTTTGTTCATAATGGATTTTACGTGCCTCTCTGTGCCACAGAGAGAGACAATCCCCTTGGCTGTTTCATTGCCTGTGAAGAACATAGAATTGTTCTTCAGATCTGTTCTGAGGTGTTTTGAACAACTCAACTGTTTCAGGTGCCCTGCTTGTAACCTGCAGGTAAGGTTTGAAAGGGTAAGGGAAAAAAAAAAGTGTGGCATACTCAAGCCCTCACAATACAGATATCCCTGGTGAACTGGTTGAAGAGGAGGATCTTATGAAAGTAAAAGCTGTGTACATGTATATGCACACATAAACACAGTTCATACCTACCTGAAAGGAGGTTGTATCCAGGTGAAGGTTGTCTTCTTCTCACAGGCAGGATGAAAGGACATAGTCATAAGCTGCCCCAGGAGAGGTTTAGGTTGGACATGAGGAGGGATTTCTTCACAGAAGGGGTGATTAGAGATTGTAATGGGATTGTAATGGGATTGCCCAGGGATGTGGTGGAGTCACCATCCCTGGGTGTGTTTGAGGAAAGAGTGGCCGTGGCACTTGGTGCCATGGTGTAGTCGATATGGTAGTGCTTGGTCATAGGTTGGACTCGATCTCAGAGGTCTTTTCCAAACTAATTGATTCTGTGATTCTGTGTAGGTGTAGAGAGATACACATGTTGAATCAGAATTGATAGATATCTTTTTCTTTCCAAAATCAGACCTTTCTGTAGTTAACTTTCGTTTACTTTAATAATGTCACTAGCTGGGTTATGCTCTACACCTGTGAAGATCAAGTTCTTCCGTAGAGGCAGATAAATACAGTTGTGTGTATTTGAGACTGCATCAGTTATATTCTATGCCCCTATAGCAGTTTTCAGCTTCTTGCAGGGACAATTCAGATCTCCCACTGAACTTGGAGAAATTTGCTACAAATGTTTTGACTTTGAACCTACATCCTGACTCTGGTCACAGAGGGGTACTTAATGAAAGAGCAAAACTGAATTTAGACCAAATAGTTTAAATTTTTAGTTATTTATAAAATACTGTCTTAAAATACTAAGACACTACTAATCATAGGGCTTTAACTTAAACAAGCGTTCATGAAAAAATGTTTTTTATTCATAACTGTGTGCTTTACACTAAATAGCTAAAAATCTGAGATACCCCAAGGGATACAACGGGCTTGTGTTTGCATAATTACAAATGATTTGATACCTGCCTTCTAACTTGGATAAAGGCAGCCCACCTACTCCTACACACAGGAACTATTACCTTTTAAGGGTGGGTGAAGAGGATCAGATCATAGAATCATTGAGGCTGGAAAAGATCTCCACAATCATGAGTCCAGCCTTTGACTGAACACCACCCTGTCAACTAAACCATAGCACCAAGTGCCACGTCCAGTCATTTCTTGAATGCCTCCAGGCACAGGGATTCCACCACTACCCCAGGCAGCCCATTCCAATGCTTAACCACCCTCTGAGTGAAGAAATTCCTCCTGAGATCATTGCATTATAAGAAGGTTAAAGCATATTCAGCTTTGTGTGAAGCAAGGGGTAGCAGGTGGAAGTACCCCCACCTCCTTTGTGTGAGACCACAGCTCCTGGCCAAGGTTGGGGGAGAGGCAGGGGATAATGCAGCCCCACCTGTGTCTCCCCAGCAGTGTGCAGACTGCATGTGTGACTTTTGGCTTCTCTTGGACCTGTTTCTGTCCTTAAGCAGTGAGTGGTCCCTGTATCAACATGAATCAGAGCGTTATGATCAGTGACACCTGGTCTAGTTGGAGGCTGTCATTAGCCCTGTCTCCCAAGGGTTGATGCTGTGTCCAATTTTAACTTACTCATCAGTGACTTGGATGAACATTCACATGTGGACTGGTGGAAATGCAAGGGTCTTCCCTTTTCCTGACCATGCTTTTCCATCCTACTGGTAATGAACAGGAGAGGCTATGGGGCAACTGCACATAGGCTGCTCTCCTCTCATATTTAGGCAAAGGACTAAGGAGTGACTTGCATTCCTATAACCTGTGGGCTCAGCATATGGGATGGGACAAAATCTTAGTTTATAGCAGAAATTGGAAAAAAAATCCTAGTTGTAGGGAGATTGAAGATCATATGATCTTATATGATCTCTGCCCAGAGGGTGGTGAGGCACTGGAGCAGATTGCCCAGAAGAGTTGTGTGTGCCCCATCTCTGGGAGTGTTCAAGACCACGTTGGATGGAGCTCTGAGTAACCTGCTCTTAGAACTAGATGATCTTTAAGGTCCCTTCCAACCTGAACCATTCTCTGTTGAGATGGATATGCCTATTTAGGTCTGTTTCTCTCCTTTTTCATGAGTAGTAGCAATGTGGACTTCACATGTTGGGGCATCTTTGAGTGATCTGCAAAGCCACCATGACTGTCCTCGTAGCTCCTGCAGTGTGAAAAGGGAGGTGGCCAAAAATGTGCTTAAGAAAAGGAGAGCTGTAACAGTTCGTTAGGATACATGCCCGGAATAAAACAAGTGCACAGATATTCAAACACACAAAACATCTTTATTACAGTGAAAATAGTAATAATAACAATAAACTTAGTGAAAGAACCAAAAACTAAAGAGATACAAAATAACTACCTTATCGTGTGTTCTTAAAACAAATACTATGAACAGCATTCAATACGGTGTAATCTTAACTAATAAAAAGGGATGCCAAAAAAGGGATCTTAACACTATATTATGGATAACACGATATTGGTTAGTAAAGGGGAAATTAAAGGAAAAAATACTATGATATTAAAAGGGAACAACTTATTCAATAATAAAGGGGAATTAAAGGGACACTAAAAGGATTAAAAGGTTAAAAAGTTAGTTCTCTCGGTTGCTTCCTATCAAAAAACTGTGCTTACCCACACAGACAGGCCAGGGCTACCAGGATCTGCAGCAGCTGGTCGGTACCCATGCTTAGCAGGCGTCCCCGCGGAGCAACACAGTCTCAATGGTAGGGTGAGTATCGCTCAACTCAGCAATCCTGACACCCCATATTTATCAGTTCCACATTATACTACGTAGGGCCAGTACGTAGTATAAGGTGATGCCTGAATGGCAGCCAAACACCGCCTAATCATTACCTAATGGCAACAGTCTGCGCATGCCCTACTTGTGGGGCAAGGGGCGAGCGACCCCTGCCCACATAATCTTCCTCCCACCATCATCTTTCTCACCCCTATGTATGACCTCTACTATTGTGTTTCAAGGGTAGATGTATCTATCTTGCAATATGTAGCAAAACCAAGGAAGAACTCAGCTCTGATAATAGGGGATATCAGGCTGACTTGCTAAAAAGCACAATGGACCTTACAATTAGCTTGTGCCATGAAGTTACATTGTACCATACTCTAGATGGTTTCACATCCTAATATGATTCCTTTCTCACGCCTCTATGCTCCATTGATCATCTAATTCAAAAGTACCCCCCTTACAAGAGCCCTTTATGCAGCTTTGCTGGTGTCTGTACAGTAGATGTTTAAGACTTCTGAGACTCCTTTCCAAAAACAGGCAAAGTTGCAATGATTAGACTGTAAGAGGGAATAAGTCCTCCTATCATCCAGGAATATCCATATTTCTGAAACCAGTGCTGTGGAAGTAGTCCTGTGAGCATCTTTGTTTTCCAAGGTCCCAGAGGAGCCTGCCTGTGCCTGTCACTGGAGGACTCCTCAAGCAGATGTCTCCAAAAAGTTAAACCTGGTACGTGCAAATCAGATTCTTATTAAAGTTTCTTATATCATCATTGTCATCATCATTAGCAATGTGGGTAGGGCATAGCCAGGAATTGTTCATGAGGTAGGAGGTGAAGCTAATTTACCTTGTCCTCTGAGGGCTGCCTGGGGTCTGCAAGGCTGCCGAGCCCAAACTGCTTCTGTCAGTAAAGTGCTCAGATACGACCTCAGAGATGGTGCAAGGAGCCATTTTGGTCAGTGCAGCTGTGCTTTGACTCAGAGCACGGTGCTGTTGCTGAGTGTGAGCAGGGCTGATGGTGAGAGCCGGGCTGCTGCTTTCCATTAAGGACCTTTAACCACCACTCTGGGTGTCCTTGAGTACTGGCAGACACCAAAGCTGCAGCGAAGTGTGAGATTTAGGGTGATAATTTTATGCTCATCAAAAACCCTGGGTCCCAAAAGATGGCTGGAGAGGGATTTGTTTTATTTGTTTTGGGGAAGAAAGAAAGCAAACAAAACAAAATGTGCATGAGGGTCGTGTAGTGCACTGTATCCCACATCTCTGGATCAGGGGAACACACCAGTAGATGTGGGACATCATACCAAAGGAACCATGTGGTGATAAAAGTGGTGTGGTGAAGGCTTTCTTAGTTGCTTCCCTGAGTGCTCTGGGTTCTCAGACCTGAAAGGAAAAAGAGGAAAAAGCCTTACAAACACAACTGGGGAGCTGAATGTGGCCTGTTTATTGGTAATTTTGCATATTATGCCATGCCTCTCCAAAAAAGT